GAAAGAAAGAAAGAAAGAAAGAAAGAAAGAAAGAAAGAAAGAAAGAAAGAAAGAAAGAAAGAAAGAAAGAAAGAAAGATAAAAAGAAAGAAAGAATTTACTTATCACCTATTATGTGCCAGGCACTGCGCTAAGCATTTTACAAATATCATCTCAGTTGATCCTCACAACTCTGGATGGTCTGTGCCATCATCATCTTCATTTTACAGCTGAGGAATCTGAAGCAGACAGAAGTTAAGTACGCAGGGTCACATAGCTAGTAAGTGTCTAAGGTTGGATTTAAACTTGTCTTCCTGACTACAGGCCCAGTGCTCTATCCTCTGTGTCACCTGGACAGCCATTAGCTACTGAAAGGGTTTCAAAGATGGAACTTGCCCAAAAGAAGCTTAAAAATCTAGAAGTAAGAAAATAAAGTTCACTGAAGTAAAGAATAGAGATGAATTCTCTTCTGTTGAAAGAATCAAGGAGGGCAATCAACCTGCGCCTGAAAAGATGAGTAGGAAATCAACTCAACTATCAGTGACGGGGAGAGGAAGAAGGATCAGCCTTAGCAAAAGTACAGAAGTGGGAAATTCAAGACATATTTGTGAAGTTTCAAGTATAGTATGCTTTCGTGGGCATGTGAAGCCATGTGGAAGGAGTTAAGTGTAAAATAAATTTTGTTGCTCCTCTCCATGATGGCTGGATGGGGAAGGCTGGAAGCAATGCCATAAGAAGATATCAGGGTGAGGTAACACTTCTATTGGATCTCTTGGGCTCAGGGTCCTCCAGGAATGCTGGTCTCCTCAGTGCTTTACCTACTCCTCAATGTTCAAAATAATGTATATAGATCATTACCACATAGAGTTCATAAAAATAAACAATCAGGCATACGATTATGTATTTTCTGAGCCCTTATTATATTCTTATAAGAGAAGCACTGTCCATATTCCCCCCCATTCTCTTTAAATCTTCATCTTTTTGATATCCCTGAAAGACTGATTCCCTGAGTATGATTAAAATTGTGATATCTCCAGCACAGATGTCTTCAGCATGTATCTGGCCAAGTTCAAGTGTTGTTTTTCTTTTTTTCCTGACTTTATCTTCCTAAGTGCTGTTGGCACTTCCTCGCATCAAAAATGGGGGTGGTACAGTCTAAACATCATAGTTCCACTAAAAACAATGAAAATCAATAACTATAATTGCCAGAAGATATTATGCATCTTGTGTCTATTTTTTTCCTCTTTTCAGATTCATCTGCAAAAGTTTTCAGTATAATGTGGCTTAGCTGCTTCTGATACCAACTTCTCTAAAGGCTTTCATTCAATGTTTTGTGACATTTGAGGAGGTAGCAGTAGTAATAACTAGCATTTGTATAGTGCTTTAAGATTTGCAACATGCTTTATAAATGTTATCTAATTTTATCCTCAAAATAACCTTGTGAGACGGGTGCTATAATTATCCCCCTTTCACAGATAAGGAAACCAAAGCAGGCAGAGAGATGAAGTGACTTGCCCAGGATTACACAAGCAGTATCTGTCGAAATTAGAATTTAAACTCAGGTTTGCAGAAATCAAACTCTCTATCCACTACACTAAGCTGATTCCCCTGTAGAAGTAAACATATCTTTCTATAGAAGGCATTTTTGTTTTTATTTGTTACATGGGGTCATTTAATAAGAGGGATCCTTTAATGAGAAAGTATTACCACTGGCTGGGAACAATTATAATAGGTCGTGAATATATATACACACAGTTATTGCATCTCATTCCTATTTACAACATTCCTATTGAAAAGGAAGGATTTGAACATTATTCTTTCCCTCTTTCTAGATTTAGAAACTAAGGCTGAAATGGTACATGGCACACCTATTGAGCAGAGTAGTTATAGTTCAAATTCAAATCTCCTAGCTACCATATTAATTCTTCCAGCTTTTTAAGGTCTATTTGGATAATGATTCTGATGTCCAATATACTGATTTTCCCTCCCAATCTTCCAATTTAGTAACTATGACAGTATCATCAACAGGTGCTTAGATACAGCAAGTATGGAGAAATAATGGGCAAAACTGTGCTTGGGCGTGCAGAGTTACAGTGCAACATACAAGGCATTAATAAATATTTCCCTTTTCCATGTTTGATGAACCTTTCCCATTCTGAAGATCATATTCCTTGTTATAGAATGTAAGTTTTTTGAAAACAAGAAAAATTTCATTTTTATTTTTGTATCTCTAGTATCTACCACAGCATCTGACTGGCCTCTAGTAGGTTCTTAATAAGTGTGTATTAATTGAATGACAACTAAACTATTTCTGTTCTTGTTCTTTCTTTGTGTACGCCCTTACCATTCCTTCTCCTTTTTGCCTTCTACTTTTTCTTCTGTCCTTCCTTAGCATCTAATTTCCCTCTTTTATCCCTCCTGTTCTATAGATGACACATCTCAATTCTGTGCTCAGTTGAATGCATAAGAAATGGGTGGAATAAAGGACAGAGGAAGGACTTTGACATGAAAAACCATATCATGCCTAACTTTTCTTCTTTACATATAGTGCCTTCATGAGGCAAAATTGGGAAGAAGGTAAGCCTCCAACCACATTCAGTGTAGCTAACCTGCCTTTTTTCTTTTCTCACCTTTATTTTACTTTCTCATCTTTTCTGCCTTAGTCTTGTACCTAATACCCTTGAGGTTTTTTTTTTAAATCTCCTGTCTTTTATCTACACCTACTGTTGAGAAAAAAATATAAACTGTATTATTTCCACCATTTTATTAATGTAAGCCAACATATGTGCTAGGATATTTGCATTTTAATCCCTATCTATAGTTAAGAAATACGTGGCTTCATCTCTTCTTAAAGAAATATCTGGCATAGTACATAGAGCTCTGATCTTGGAGACAGGAGAACCTGAGTTCAAATCTGACCTCAGACACTTGACACTTACTAGCTGTGTGACCCTGGGCAGGTCACTTAACCCCAATTGCTTCACCAAAAAAAAAAAGAAAGAAAAGAAAAGAAATGTCTGGCATAATTAGTACGTGGCATTGAAAAGAAGGCAAGAGAACCTTCTTCCTGTGTTGTATGAAAAAAGAGGATGCAATCCCCTTGTGAAGGATAGAAGAGGTACTAGTAGCCTTTACAACACATATAGGGTTCATACAGTTAAGGCATATCTCCCTACTCTGTAGTATCTTTTTTTAAGAGGCAGCTGATGGTACGGTATAGAGCACTGAGCCTGGAGTCAGGAAGATCTGAGTTGAAATTTGATCTCAGACACTTAGTAGCTGTATGACCCTGGGCAAGTCATTTAACCTCTGTTGACCTTTGTTTCCTCACTTGTAAATGTAAAATAATAGCATCTACCTCTCAGGGTTGTTTTGAAGATCAAATGAGATCATATTTATTAAAAACACTTAGCACAGTATCTGGCACATAGTAGGTCCTATATAAATGCTTATTCCCTTCCCCTTTTCCTCTTGCCCCTGAAATCATATCATATATATGAACCCAGCCCTGTCTATATGCAAAACCCACTGACATCCAAAGGATGTCTATAAGCCTTATTGTGAATCAAGACTAGAGATTTAAGCCCTAAAGACCAGAATATCCATTTTGTATTGTCATTATAAAGGAATTAGAAAAGAGGTTCCTTTATATTGTTATAGTACTTGCATTAAAAAAGCTTCCTTTTCCTCCACTTGCACAAGTATGTATTTAATTTTTCCTTTTCTCAATTGATACTTTTCTGTCAAATATTAATACTGAAAATGCAAATAGATCTCAAAATTTTGCCAACTATATGTAATTGTCATAAAAGTAAAAGTCATGGTTTTCATATTTAAAACCACCAGGAAAGAGCCTCCATTAGCTATAACCAACCACCAGGCATTCATTAATAAAGATTTAAAGGCTCTGAAAGTGGCCCTTCAAGTTTCACAGGGAGCAAAGATCTTTTACCAACCAATATTAGGGTAATTTAAGGATAAATGAATTGCAAATATTGTATTAAAATAAACAGGTCTGAACGTTGTTAAAAGTTCATGAAGTAAAGAATGGAGTAAATCCAAACCAAAGCCATTCTTCTCTGTTAGGACACTTTCTAGCATTCTTCCAATAACCCCAAAAGAGGGTAGCGTGCAGAGTTCTGAAAAGGCACATGTAGGTCAAAAACTCCAAGTTTAGCATCACAGAGGCAGACCAAACAGAGAACTATTTCAGACTGTGCAAAGAGTTTTGCTTAAAAATAGCAGCATAAACATAGCTGTCCCCAATTCTCCTTCACTTTCACAGCCCCATCCAATTCTCTTAAGCCCAGAGCTGCCATTGATTTCCCAGGGAGCTCAACCTGCCAAAGAGCTAAATTGGGGTGAAGAGATAGATATTTGCTATCAGGCTCACTCTCAGCTAACAGAGAACATCTGCCAGTTGCCCTTCAAAAATCTTTTTCAAGGATGAGATTCCTGCCTTGGAAACATAGAGGAAATAAAAATGGTGGGGGAAGGGGGTTAAGGGGTATTGTGGTTTGTTTGTTTTTTTAAGAATTCTACTGATTTCTTTGTGAACTCTTTGAAGAAAGTAAAGCCAGGGTCTTTGCTGACCCAATTTTCAAAAAGCTTAAGAAAATGGCCTGTTTGAATCCCCAGAGAGCAATTGGCTGCAAAGGAATTTGTTTTGGGCAAAATCAAAATAAATCTAGCTTTGAAGTTAGTTATGTTAGAGACAAATTCACTAAGGTGCCTACTGAAAATAATTAGCATCCACACTATTAATATTTTTTCAACTTGTTCACTGATAACAGTCCCTCTCTAACAGTTACGTTGTTGATTAGTATTTTCTAATTTATTCCTTCTTTGCCATATCAGTCATCAATGATTTTTCCACATATTGTTAGCCTAAAATACTACCACCTTTGGTGAGTAGGTTTATATTCTAAAGGGACCTCTGTTGCCTAACATAAAAAACACTCAACTTATCTTGCCTGAAATGTTGACTCTTTTTCTTTCCTAGCATTTTTCATAATGCAATCCAGTGGGATTGATTTTTCATCAATTAAGTAGCATTGCACATTGTCCTAACATGTCATAAATTTCAAAGATTTCTCAATATCTTGTCATGATGAACCCAAATTTAACAGCATTCTCAAACCATGCTTCCACATATCAAGATATTTAATGTTTGTGCCAATGACCAGAATTTATCGTTTCTTGAATTTAATGGTTCTGGTGTCAGAGCTCCTTTCAAATTGTTTCAGCAGAAACTAAACTTTTTAAAGTCAATAAACCATTCCCCAACTTTAAAAAAATATATATCCCATGGTTCTCTATTAGGTTGTTTCAGTAGTCAAAAAATGTGCTATTCACATCCAGGAGTTTAATACTTTGAAAAAGGTGTGTTCTTACACTGTTATTCTCCAAGTTTCAGATGAGTATCCCAAATGAGTATAGTCTGAAAATATAAATATCAAAGCAATGATCCCACAAACATGGACAAGATTTCTAGAATACAATTTGTTTAAATGGGAGATGCCCCACAGATTAGCATTGACTGTTGAAATGCCTCTCAATTGGGGAAAGAGCAGCCTGGGATTTTGGTTAGAGAAAAAATTGCTTTTGAAATTTGAGCTATTGACTGCCATCCAACTGAGGTACAAGTCATTACTATTGGGGAGTTTTTGGCAAATGGAAGGGATTGTATCTGTAGAAGGAGCACATTTAATAGGAAACAATGGAAACTAAAGGGACAGCACAATGAAGGAATGAGTGAAGTAGAAACATAGAGTTACAGAAAAGACAGACAAGGAATCCAAAATTATGACAAGCATATGAAAGAGCAGGGTAACAAATAAATATATGGCAAGAGAAGCTATGCATTGCAAAGTTGTGATCACTCTGAAGACCAGAGTACTCAATAAAGTTAATAAAGGTGATAGAGCCTATGGCTTACTATGGTTCTGGTATGTTGAATATAATAGTGTCTAAGGTCATCATTCTGGACAACCCATAGCTTAGATAATACTTAATTAATTAAGTCATAAGATGACTGAGGGCAACAAAAAGCAATTAAGGAACAAATATGAATTTCAGCAAAGGCAGGGTGAAGGTAAGCACAAATCCTAGCAACTGTTAAATCACAAAGCAAACTATAAAAATAAAAACACATCCTAACACTGTGCCGTGTGAGAATAAAGTCCTCACATAGAGGATATTTCTGATGCTAGATTAAAATTTCATGTGAAATTTGGCCAAAAATGTTAATGGGAGATAATGATAGACAGACACATAGAGCAAATAGAGGTTGCTTTGATTATTTCATTCAAACTGCATATTAACATGACAGTTTCTGAGATGATAACAGAATTAAATAGTTCCAGTAAATTTAGGATATGGAAGTTAAAAAAAACGATTTGGAAAATGAGGGAAAGAGGAATATGGGAGGTTGGGAGGCATAGAAATCTAGTGCAGTAAAGAGATTCAATTAGGATGATAAGAAAAATAAGCTATTACTACGGATTATGAAAAGGGTTGTTATGATGCAATGTGGCATTTTTATTCATTTTTGCTTCTTCTGAGTTCTAGAGGATTTCTGCAGTAATAAATTATAGTCCTATACTTGACCCTACAGAAAACTCAAAAACACTTTAATCATTGATAGACTTATTAGAAGGAACTTATGTTATAGAAAGAAACTTCAGGAGTCAAAATGGGAGCCCAAGGCCAAATTCTTCACTGAGGGAAAGTGGGAATTGCACATCTTCTTGTGGTGTAATGGAAACAACATTGTATTTGGATCTGTATTCAAATCCTGGTTCTGCTACTTGTTACCTGTGTTACCATTGGCAAGACATATTACCTCCATAGGGCCCAGTTTCCTCATTTGTAAAAGAAGAGTGTGGACTAGCTGTTTGACATGATCCCTTCTAGCTAGAAAGTTAAGAGCCTATTGTGTACAAAATAAAATCCACAGTTGAATATCATGTACAATTTTCTTCAGGATATAGGAATTTATAAAAAGGAAAAATAGAAGAAGGGAACATTATGTAAGTCATCTTGAAAACGGAAAAAAAGTATCTATCTATCAATCAATCAATAAGGAATTATTAAGTGCCTATTACGTGCCAGGTTCTGGAAAGATGACGACAAAAAGGAAGCAGTCCCTTCCCTCAACGTTCTGATGGGGGAAGCAATATGTACACATATAAGTATATAGAGAAAAATCAACATAAAGCAGTTTAAGGAGGAAGAACACTAGCAGTTGGCAGGAATAAGAAATCTTTCTTGTAGAAATAGGTACTTGAGTTGAATGTAGTTGATAGTTAAAGAGACCACTTAAGATAAAAGTGGTTGAAGACTTTTTTTTTTCTTTAAGTCTTACAAAATGGTTGAGTAAGCAGTGCTGTTTCAAACTGCATTAAGCTAAAGCAAGATGGAGGAATGAGCCGCTTTTCTAAATTCTCCCATTTTCTGTGTAGCCCCTTGTTCATAAGCCTGGAAGACTAAGAAAGCAGAAAGTATCTATGGCAACAGAGCAGACTTTTACCCAGACTTCACAGCATCTGTGACATTGATATTGAGGGGAACTCTAGGAAGAAGGACACAGAAGGCAAGCGTGGGGGAGGTGGGGGAGTTAGACAAAATTCAAAATGTATACACTATTGATGGCAAAATGATTTGACCTAAACTCTAAAGCACTTTCCCACAACCTTTGGAAAAATGGGAGGGGGATTGTTACCTCTGGGCTGAGGAAGGAAGAAATGAAGAAAACAAAGGAATGAGGGGGAAATGAGAGGTGGAGGCTGGAGAGGGGGAGGCCATAGCAAATGAGAGGCACCATGCAGAGTAACAGAGAATAAATGCTGAAATCTCACTATCACCATTCACTTTGAAGGGTCCAGCACAGGAACCTCCACCCACAGGGTGGAGAGGATCAGAGACAGGTGATATTTATTTCTTATCTTCCTCTTTCCAGAGAGGAAGTTAAATATCTAATTGGGCTCTTTGTTCACTTTAACTGTTTTGTTTCCCTATTGGCTGGGGAATATTACACACACACCCATTCCCTTTTTTAATTGCACATTTTGGTCTTTAAACTTTTAACTCAATAAATAAAAATTGTGACTGGGAGGAAAGTTGTTTTTGTACTTTATTTATTGCTGGTGTAAAAAGACGAAAGGGAGAGAGAAAGAGAGCATTTTATTTCCTA